GAACTCAACATTTTGATAGCTGAAATAGCTCATAAGGTATGCTGAAGTAGAATTTTCCCATTCATTTGAATGGTGCAAGATTTTCAAAATAAAGCTGAATATTTCAAAAGTATGAAATTCAGAAAAGTTGTGAATAGAAGCATGAATGTCCAAGAGGGGCTGAACATTTTGATAGCTGAAAGTTTGCTGAAGTAGAATTTTACCATTCATTTGAATGGGGCAAGATTTTCAAAATAAAGCTAAATATTTCAAAAGTATGAAGTTTACAAAACTTCTGAATAGAAGCATGAATGTCCCTGAACATTTTGATAGCTGAAATGGCTGAAAATATGCAGAAGTAAAAATTTCCCCATTCATTTGAATGGGGCAAGATTTTCTAAATAAAGCTCAATATTTACAATGTATGAGGTTTAGAAAACTTTGGAATAGTAGTATGAATGCCCTTGAAGAGCTGAACATTTTGATAGGTGAAATAGCTGAAAGTTTGCTGAAGTAGAATTTTCCCATTCATTTGAATGGGGAATGATTTTCAAAATAAAGCTAAAATAAAGCTAAATATTTCAAATGTATGAAGTTTTGAAAAAATCTGAATAGTAGTATGAATGTCCTTGAAGAGCTGAACATTTTGATAGCTGAAATAGCTGAAAGTATGCTGAAGTAGAATTTTCCCATTCATTTGAATGGGGCATGAATCAGCATCCATACTGGTATCAGTTTGGCTCCAAGGGGGGAAAGACTAGCCAGACAGAGGTTTTAGGGTTAGGCGTAGTGTCAGGTTTACTGGGTAAGGCTTGAGGTTAGGTACGGAGCTAGGGAATGCATCCTGTCATTAAGGATCCTCACAATTATTGTTATACAAACGTGTGTGCGTGTGCGGGGGGGTTGTCTTTATATACTTGTGCGAACCAACCCCTGACGGAACACCTTTCTTGTGTGGACCTTTTGTGTGGTCCACACAAGGAAAATGCTAGGATAGGCTCCTTTCATCCTAAAGAATGATCTGTCTAAGTTTCAGAGGATGTCCACATACAGAGACTAAAGTCAGAAAAACGTGTGCCAGCTTGTGCTCTAAAAGTATCATGCTCTGATTAAATACTACTTAAGCTGAATTAATGCAATACTGCCTGTGTCTTTAAAAGGGCGCAGACAGGGCAGCTTAGAAGTGGGCGGGAATCAGGCAATATTTTTAACACCTGGAGCTCGATCCTCACCTTCAGCTAATGTTGCATTAAATGCATGCCTCAACACTGCGGAGACTGTGGTAGCACCACAATCGGTGTGCTGAG